AGGAGGAGGAGGAGAGGAAGGGGGTGTTAGAGTATTCCGAATTGACGCTCAGAGATAAACAAGGAGACACCCTGTTTGGAAGACGTCTGTGGCGGGAAGCGACAGGGATCTGCAACTGAGTAAGTCGTGATTTGCGGTGTGCGCGGTTTGTGCCCGGTTGTTTTCCGCAGGCTGACCTGCTTTTGGTGGTTGTGTCCAGCGGCTGCTTGTGCAGCGGCGCAATATTTAAGCTTCCAGCCCGGCAGCATCCTTTGACTCGGACAGGAAAGGGAGATGACAGAACGGGGCAGAGGGATGGAGACACGGGAGGGGAGGTTGGGGGGGGGGAAATAGAAAAATATTAGCGTTAAATATCTGTACCAGTGAATTTCCTTCCTGTAAAACGCGATCGCTGCATTCGTATGAGGTTACAACTAATCACAAGAGGCGCAGCATCTTTCAAAGGGGAACGTGAAATGTAAATGTGCCATAACAAGCTGGCAATAAAGTCATGCGCTGGTTTGGGGGGGAATAACAGGGGAGGGAAATAGCTGCATTATTGTGTCATGTCAACATCCCATATGCCCAGAAGGCCCGCTTTACTGTACTGTACTCCCAAGCCATGACACAGCCAGACCGACAGGTGTAACGGGACGACATGTTTACGCGAACCGCTTTTGATGATCCATCATGTAACATCGATCTGTTTTGCGAGGATGTTTTTTTGTTGTTGTTGTTGTTTTTTTGCCTCGATGGTGAATTTCCAGTGGCGCCAGCAGCCGTGCATGGCCGTCACTGCATGGGTGAGAGATGCTGACTGGCTACAGGCTGTGGAGGAGAGGAGAGTAAACGGGGTATTCTGTATTCTGTGGTGTGTTGTGATGTGAGCAGTCTGCTCCAACATGGCGCGCATTAGCTGTAAAAGAAAAGAAGAAGAAGAAAAAAAGCTGTAAAAAAAAAAAAAGCCTTGGCCATTACATACTCCTGTCTGGAATTCACACCGTGCAGTGCACCAGGGAGTTTGGTTTATTATACCAGAGAATGAGACTAGTGCATCCCTGAGGTTTAGCCCGAAATTCAGCTCAGGTTGCCACTGGTGATAGAGTCTGGCTCCTGTGCCCTGTCAGAATATCACGTAGGCTTGTGTGTGTGTGTGTGTGTGTGTGTGTGTGTGCTCTCCTTTCTGTGTCTATTCCTGTCTCTGAATAGAACAATATCGAGTGGACCGACTCCTGATTTTACTCTGTTTTTGTAATTATGTTTGATCACAGCAGGTGTAGGCGCAACCAGACAAAGAGAGTGTTTTTGTTTGGTCTTGTGTCCATTGTTTTCTCTCCTCAGCCCTGTGTGACAAGACCACCAAGTTCATGATGATAGCATATAACACACCCCTTTGCATTTGGGAGAGGATTCGTGTGGAGTCCTCGAAGCACATCAGCTGTTTGTTTTATTCATCCACATAGCTGTGGTGACACCTGTTTGATTCCTGGAGATGGTGGGAAAATAAGTGCAGTGAAAGCGATTGACTCTTCTTCCGTGACAGTTTCTTCTGAGGTGACAGCCCAGGTGTGAATATGAGTGTTGCTGTTGAAAAGGAGCCAAAGTGAGCATGTTTACAGGGTCAAGATAAGTGCAAGGAATGAAGTGAATTTAGCACTGGCAACATTTTGGGCTCTCTGATGCAATCTTCTGTACTGTGTCACAGTTATACTTATATTTTAGAAACGTAGAAAAAAGTACGAGATTGGACACTTTATGATGCCCTGTTTTTCAGTGCACTTGTACAAATGACAGTGGAAAAATGACAATATCACTTAGCACATCTCTACGCTGTTTGTTGTCTGATGTGTCATTTTATTGTATGAGCGAGACATGTTAAGTCCGCATTAGGCCTCAGCCTGGCAGCATGTGAGCTGAGGGTCGGTCGGGCGGTTGGCTGCTCTGTGTTGTGTCAGCAACTCGCAGTAGAGCTGACAGCACTTGTCTTGTCCACCCAATCATGCGGCATTATGACTCTGGACAGGCACATTTCTGTGTGTGAGTTTTTGTGTGCTTATATGTCTTTGTGTGTTTGCATGTGCAGCTTTGTGTGTGCATTTTAGTCTGTCTTTGCATGTATGCGAGAAAAAACAATGGATGTTGTGTGCTTGTGTGTTTGTGTGTAAATGGCCGTCTCCTGGCCAGGCAGGCTGGGCACTGGGATGGATCTGCTTTCACCAATTTAGATAGGGGAAATGAGCTGGTAACCGGAAGGTCATTCATCCTAATCTTGGACTGTCAGTGAAAAATGAGGCGACATGTGAACGAGTGACAGCCATTACTACCAACTAACTACAGTTAAAGTGCCATTTAGGAAGCTCTGAATGCTCCAACAGATAACCTCACTGAGCAGTCCTGGGAGAAAACTGTATGACCATTTTTCTCGAGCCACTCCTTGAAGTGAACGTGAAAGACCTAAAAGAGCAGACTCATTAACTGCTCTGATAAACACAGCTTAAATAGGTGAAGGACATCCAAGTGACATCAGACTGTTGTTGCTGATATTAATGCAAAAAAAGTAGCCATTAAAGTGGCCATAATCAATATCTTTATGTTAACAATTGATCACATTACTACTTGTATGTGAAAGATGACGCTTACAGTGGCAAAGTCCCAGAGAATGTGCCCCAAACTCTGCAGTTCTCTTTAGCTGGACAGAAAATGTTAGCATCTTTCAGCCCAACTTAAATGGTGAACATAGTGGAACTTTTAGTAACTTAAATCAAGATATTTCCCTTTTGGGAGTTAGTAGAAACCAAAATTCATCTCCAAATGAACGCTTAAAGAGCTCCGTATCTGCTGGTTGTAGGCCCTATAAATAGGAGCTTGTTTCCACTTGTTTCTTGCCCCCAAGTCTAAAAGCCAATGTTTAAAAAAACAGGTTTAATGAAAATGCTAGGGGGTTAAAAGGTAACTTCTACACTAAAGGTGACAGAAAATATTTCACTTTTAACATCGCACTACCACCGCTGTTGCTTGATTGCAGTTTGCCAGCATCTCAGTGGCAGAAATAGTTGGTACAACATCATTACCAGAGGACAGCAGGCCTCTCACGGGTTCATATCCTGCCCCGAGCAAGTAGCCCCAGAGTGATGGATATTACTAATTACCCTAACTGACCTTGCTGTCATTAAGAAACCATCTATGCAGTGGTTATAAAATCACATCAGCATGCAAGTCGAGGAAAATGAATGTCATGCAATACAGAGGCCCTTACAGTGACTGGTTTGTGCTGAAAGATGGTATTGTAGGGTAAAAAAAAAGTGAAAGCTTACTTAACAAGCTTACAGAGTGATAAGAGTAACATCTGGGCTGATCGTAGAAATATGAGATATTTGATAATGCGATGCAATCCACCTTGCCCTTTTTGTCTTTTTTCTCTTACTATTAATCTCCACCTCCTATTTTCCTCCTGGATAGTCACTTTTCCTTTCATTTTTTTCAGACTATCTCTCATTACAAACCCCCCTCCTTGCTGCTTTGTCACGACAGATAAGACTAGAGAGGATTTGTTTTTTTCACTTTCTTCCCAGCAGATAGTCTGTCTTCTGATAAACTGTCATTTTTAGCCTCTAAGTCATTTTAATCTCAGAGGGAAATGTGCTCAGCACAGTATGTGTTTGTGCATTTGTGTGTGTCTTATGCACTGCTCCTGAAACACGCGCACACCCACATGCTCATATGACGATCACCAGAGTTGTTTCAAAGATGATATCAAAAGCACCATTGATAAGCAGCAGAGAGGGATCATCCATCTTTTTGCACTGTAGATAACCTGAACCCAACACCACACACACACATACACATACACACTTTTACACACATTCACATCTGGTTTAAGGGAAGGGAGGAGAATGAATATTATGTCTTGTCCCCATAGTTCTTTTTATAATCCCTGAAGAGATTGGACAGTGTGATACTGGACAAATATACTTAGTATAAACAATTCCTGAGCCTCTTGAGAGCCTTAAGTGGGGATTGAGATCTTGCCATAAGGGAAGGCACCTATTTGGCCTAATGGTTCCTGTGTTAACGTTGAGAGGCTGCGGCAATAATGCATAGGCTTCCTATATCCGGATATATAGAGTGTGCTGATTGACCAGAGAGACACAGAGACTACACCAGGACACTAGAGACCGTCCACTATAGAAATAGTGTCTGTCTGTAAGCATAAAATCAGTGCTGTCAGCACGTCATGTTGATGCTAATGCGGGTACATTGTTTTTACAGAAAGTCAATAGTTTGAACCACCAACTTATGTTCTTATCCCAGGACATTGTGTATTCAACCAAGATTTTTTACTGCAATGCCTACACATACATTCAAATTAAGGCTTGTGAGAACATTAAAGACATAAAGTTCCTTTAATGGCCGCCAGAAGCTGAATCCAAAATGTCTCTGTTCTGAAGTGACTTGTTCCCTGCTTCGTCATAGGGTTGCAACTCACGATTGTCTTTATTATCAATTCATTTGTTTATTATTTCCTAGATTAATGGTCTTGTCTATAAAATAATTTATTATCATTTCAAGCACCTCAAATTGCATGTTCTACTCAACTAACCATCAGAGTTTCTGTTTAAAATCATGTATGACCAAAACAAGCCTCAATTCCTCACAGAAGCTGGAACCAGTAAACACTGGGCATTTTTGCATGAAAAAGTAGTTGCCAATTTATTTCCTGTCAGCTCTACAGCGTGGTAAAGTCAGCATATGCATCCCACTCCATTGCAGTTTGTATTGTGGTCGCGGACCTTTGTGTAATCTCTTTTCAGGGTCTTTAATTTGTTCTCTACTTGCTTTTGAATGTAGGTCTAGCGTTGCTGAACTAGCAGCTTTGTGATGTTGCTATACACTGTCAAATCTTTAACCACGCTTGTTATCTGTCAATTTATCTCCTCCTTTCCTCCCATAGCCAGAAGCTCGCAACCTACCAACCGCATCTTGCTAGTTCTGCATGTACTCTTTGTACTGTGGTTACTTGGCTCCTTTCCTTCTACAAGCCTGTAAATCAGAAGAGATTGGTTACCAGGTGTGGATCTTAAAGGTCTTGGTGGTTGCTGCTCCACACTGTTGCCCAGATTCGGATTTTCTGAATCTTAAC